TGGGAGCCACTTTGACACAAAGAGGGACACTTACTAAGAGCTGGCCTACCATTTCTTTTTTCTCTAAACTAAATATTTTTAGTAATGTTTAAAATAAAATTACTTGTTGTCCAGCAATTTCACACTATCCCTTTAAATCCCACACTTTTCATTTTCCTTAGTATTTCTGCTCCCTGTTGTTTTCATCTCTTGCTCCTTCCTGCCAACTCTGCCAGTCTCAGAGGACACCACCACCATAAACTCAGAGTTATCATATGTAAGACACAGGAGGTAACTGTTCTGTGCTACTCTGCACTGGAGGGCTTCAGCTGGAGTTCTGTGTTCAATTCTGGGCACCACACTTTAGGAAAGATGTGGACAAACTGGGGAAAGTCCAGAGGAGAGAAACAAAAGTGATAAAAGGTTTAAAAAACCTGACCTATGAGGAAAGGTTCAAAACCTGGGCATGTTTAATCTTGAGAAAAGACGACTGAGTGGGGACCAGATAACAGTCTTCAAATATGTTAAAGGCTGGTATAAAGAGTGCAGGGATCAACTGTTGTCCACATCCAAGAACTAATAGGCTTGATCCGCAGCAAGGGAGATTTAGGACAAACTTTCCAACTATAAGGGTAGTTAAGCTTGTAAAGGAGGCTGTGGAATCCCCATCACTGGAAGTATTTAAGAACAGGTTGGACAAACACCTGTTAGGGATGGTCTAGGTTCACTTGGTCCTGCCAAGTGAATTACTTGGACTTGATTTCTCAAAGTCCCTTGGAGCCCTATGTTTCTATAATTATATGATAAACACAACTTCTTATTACTCAATTTATTTTCTACATTTAATGTGTATTTCTTTAACTTATTTTTAATTGGTAGCTGACACAGTACTATTGCTATCAAAGTTTAAGATCAATGAAAGCAAGTAGGTTTAACTTGTACATTCTCTATTATTTATATATTTCAGTAATTTGTTCTTTATATTTGCTAACAATCTGTAATTAAAATGAGAGAGCTGCTGACATTTCATAGGAGACTTTGCAAAACAGTTTGGACATGATTGTTAACTTTAAAGTGTGCATGTATTTGTGGCAAACTTGTGTGAGTGCACCTGGAAAATCAGGGATATACATACTCTCTTGCCATGATGTGAACATAAGTGGGCACGTAAAAGGGCAATATGCAGATTTACATGGATTTCTGGGATCAAAATTAAGCCCATTGTTTCAAAACAACAAATCTTGCATATACTACATTATCTGTGGTTCTTCCTTACTGCACTGTATTACTAAAGACTCTCCATTCATTGTGACATCATAATCATTCCCACAAGTGTGCTGTCACAAATGGGAGCAGATGAACTCACTTATGAAACAAAGATCCTGTGTTTATTCAAATATCCTTGGAAATAAGGAAGAAAGGAAAAGAACAACAGAAACCATAAGATATATCAGTTGAATTGTTTCTAAAGAGAAGGGTTTTCAAAGATTCCCATGAAACACCAACCACTATTTAAAATCAGGCCTGTTCCTCTGATTTACTTAAAATGCAATCAAGCTTGCAAAATAGTGACACTCATATTGCAAAAAGACAAACCTTCATGCACAACAAACAACTTTCAGAAAATATTAAGGTTTTGACACAAAGCAACAAAAACCAAGGACATGAACAGCCAAGGGAAAATATAGCATGTTTCCCTAAAACTAAGCGAGTCAGAAGAATGGAAATGCACTTAGAAAGCTGTCAGTGTGGCATCACACCGAAACATGCCCACTGTGGAAAAGTGGAGGCCCCTTTAATGAAGACCAGAGAGAGAGCAAAGGCCCACTTATGTCCCTTGGACACACAGTCCAACCCTCTTCATCTTCAGTGTTCTGAAGGAAGGGAAAGGGACAGGTATAGTATCTTACACTAAGCTCCCAGCCCCCCACTTAAAATACTAGATCCCACAATATTAGAAAGATCAAGCTCTTAAGTTCCAAACTGGCAAGCAGTAAAACCTGTGAGTTTTTGAGGTGTTTCTGAGCATTCACCTAGCCAGACTATAGCCTCCTTGGAGATGGATTAGTTCCAGGGGGAGATGCAGGGACTTTTACCCCTTTGAGACCCCAATCATTTCCTACTCATAAGGCCACACCAGAGTTCCAAGTTTGGTATGAAAAAAAATCCCTCCAAACAGTCTCTTTTAAATCTATTCTCATCCTCCTGCCTCTGTGTGGCCTGTGTGAAGAGAAAGGAGAATTAAATTCACTGCACTCAGGGAAAAACAGGGGCTTCTTTGTTCTCACTGGGGACAAGCAGCAGGCACAGCCATGCCTGCACTCTCCACTATACACTGGCCGGTATAGTTGAGCAGCCCTGTGGGGGCAGCAAGCTACCTGCCCCAAAAGTGTGTAGTAATGCGTGCTTGGTCCTGGCCTCAGGAGCTCCAATAGGTGTTCTGCCTTCCTGAGGGCTCTCCTGAGGCAGTGCAGCTCCATGTTCCCCTTGGCTACAGGCTGTATCTCAATGGCACAATCTAACACTAAGAATTTTACACAGCCCTCATTACTGCAGGGTGCAAGAACATATAGTAAAGATTTAGGGCCTGATACTTTACACATTAGAGCCAATGGCAAATTACCCAATGATTTCAGGGTTAACACGATTAAGAAAATAAAAAAATATGCAAGACAATGAGCAGCATATGCTATAAAATACAAGAAAGGAATCATGTTTCTTGCTGATTTACATCCTTGAAACCCACTGTAATATAATGAGATTGCACTGGTGTCTGAACACTATAACTGAATGTAGTTGATACCAGTTAGCTCTGTGTTCTTGGGGAACCAGGGCGCAGTATCCAGCCTGTCTGACTCATGAAGGACACCCCCCCACCAGCCTCTGCTTGAACCAAAACCAATCAGAGAAAAGACTTGCAGAGGCAGTGGGAGACACACCTAGACCCCTCCGGACAAGGGTGATAGGATTAAGGCAACTCCTCTAGCCTCATCTTCATCAAAGATAGGACAGGAAGGCATCTCCATTAACATACAGAATGGAGAACAGAGATTCCAAGGCAAGAACCGCACTGAACTCTGGGACCAGAAAAGCAGGGAAGCACTGCATCATGCGGGATATCTGCTCCAGATGTTAATGAACCTACACCTGCACACACCCAGCTCAGCAGATATCAGACCAATTCTAGTAATGAATACGTGATTGATATCCAAAATACTGAAGCATCTTAATTGCATTGTGAGCTCCCTCCAAGGAACATCGCCCAAAGCCAGGAATGATCAGCTCCCAGGTCTAGCCTGAACAAAACAACTTTAGTATTTTCCCTTGTTTATACATAAACAAATCTAGTGTTCTCCCTTGAACCACTGCTGTTTCTCTACAAAAACCCCTACCTATGTTCAAGTAAGTGTTCTGATGCATGTATCCAAACTCTGCATCAGTTCCACTGGGATTTCATCTTCTCCTGACTGATCGTGCTGGGGGCTCTGCCTGTCTCCAGCACCCAGGGCCCTGAGCTACCACCGTCACCTGGGAACCCCGACCAGTACAAGCTTCATGGAGTGATGAGATCCCCCTCTCTCTCTGTTTTCTTTTCTACCTCAGGTATAACTTTCTAACCCTGACTTGTTTGAACAGGTATAGTTTTCTATATATGACTTAGGTGGAGTACAGAAATCGATTTAAAGGGCCCTTTATTTCGAAATAAATGGCGTCGTTGTGTGGACGGTTGCAGGGTAAATTCGAATTAACGCTGATAAAACCGAATTAAAGTCGTAGTGTAGACCAGGCCTTATAATGTAACTGCTATGTTTGTTTAGGCTCTCCTTGTGTGGTTATCACTATTATTCAATAAATAACTTTTATGGTTAAGCTGGTTGCTTCTCTTTCTCTCTCTCTCTGAGCTTTACTCTTTTGTGTTTTTAGCTTCCCCATTTGCTCTGCAGCAACACTTTTCTTACCTAAGCTAAAGATCCCTGTAGTGCCCAAAACTACTCCAGGGTTTGCTCATCAAGTGGGTTACTACCAGTACAATTGTAATGTTAAAGTGGGGATAGGGACGTGCTGAACCTTGACATACAAGAGTGGCAGCTTGAAAGTGCTGCTTGATGCAGTCCACTCAGACTTGCTCTGTTAATGTGTGTGTGTGTGTGTGTGTGTGTGTGTGTGTGTGTGTGTGTGTGTGTGTGTGTGTGTGTGTAGTTCTA